TTGATATCCTAATACACATTGGAATGGGGTGAGTCCTGTAGAGGCATGGGTTAAAGAGTTTTGGCCATATTCCACCCATGGCAAGAATTCTGCCTACCGATTCTGTTTCCGGCTGCAGTAGGTTCTCAGATATCTACCAATCTCCTGATTGAGTCTCTCGACTTGACCGTTTGACTGTGGGTGATAGCCTGATGTCAGATTCACATTGGTGTCCAATTGTCGGCAGAAAGCTTTCCACACCTGAGAGGTGAATTGAGTCCCTCGATCCGAGACGATGTCTTCGGGTAAGCCATAAATTCGAAACACCTGGTGAAATAGAGTTTGAGCTGTTTCCGTGGCTGTTGGCAGACCTTTGAGGGGAATGAGGCGGCAAGACTTGGAGAATCTGTCCAGGTCATACACGTGGTAAGAAGGCAGAGATACAAACGATTGGTAAGGCAGGATAAACTGGCAATACTTCACAAAGTAGTCATGTGGTGGCCAGGTTAATATGGCCACTAAACAGGAAGTGGTTGCAGAGAAAGCAGAGAGAGTGCTAACAGTCAATACTCGGGCGAGGGCTCCCTCTGCTGACTTGGTGTTACAGCAGTATGGATCATGTGACACTGAAGAATGGAGTAATGACTGCTAAAAATTCAGCTTTGCCATCATAGAAAGAAATTTAAAAAATATATTTTGAATTTCAATAATGTTTCACAATAATTGTTTTACTGTATATTTAATCAAATAAATGCAGCCTTTAAAACCGCATGAGGCTTATTTTAAAAACTGTACCGACCCAAATCTTTTGAACAGTAGTTATGTCTTCAAATATTACTCAATTATGGTAGCATTTTCATCTTACTAAGCAATTTTGCCCCAATGCACTTTTTTCAAAGGTTAGTGTACTTGTTTACCAAGAAGACAGCACTGTTTCCAATTTAACTGTAATTTTGTCAAATTATGCAAAAAGTGTGTAAATATTTAATTTACTGTATTTAGTATACATACAATGTTATGAAAATAGCGTTAGCAAGACAAATGAGAATTGTTCACTGTTCAAAATTTTTTTTAAATGTTATTGTGCCAGCACAAAATGCTGTTAAATACAATACATCATTTGAGATATTTTTCCACTATTGGACATTGTCAGCAGACAGATAAACTAGTTTGAAGTCTTTTAAAAAGTTCCCATAGTTGAAGAAACATGCGTAAATGAGCACCGTATCTTCACCTCTCTAAACTTCTCTAAATTTACACAGCACATGATTGTAGAGTTTGGATCAGTGACCCTTCTCACCCCTGCTTGGCAGTCGTGAAACATGTTTTGGCCTGTTATCTCTTGCCTGCCGTATCAGCCCGGAGGATTTTTTTAATGACTACTGGAGATGGCTGGATATTTTGTGTTATTTGGAGGGAAACAAGGAAGCTAATGATGCCATATCTTCTGCATTACCTGTCTCTGGATGTTCAATTACCTCATTTAGACTGAGAAGTGAGAGAGGCTCGGCTAGTGCAAACTGCTAGAGTGTAAATCACTCTCTGGTCTCGCTTTAAAGCCGGATGAAGTCAAATCGAAATGGCGTCAGATTGCCAGGTGGATCAATAGAGATATTGTTAAGGGAGTTTTGTCTGACAGAACAGCATCTCACTCCTGTGATAAAGGTGAGAAGGGAGAGAAAGACCTCAGGGCAGGCTGGGAACAAACAGGGGAGACTGAGGAATATCTGGCAGAAATGTGCTTTGCAATATTGAAGTCTTACAAATGATAGCAAATCACATGCTAACTGATACCTAAATTACTTTCTGAGAATGGATGATTATTGTTATTATTGTTATTATTGGAAGGTCAAAAATTATCAAAGACTTCTGCTTTCCTGTCCCAAACCTATCTTCAGTAACAAAAGGGCCATTTGGCATTCCTGAAGGCACAGAAGTGCTGATATCGATCAAGGCCTGTTGGCCAATATGTGTGTACATCGGGGGTCTGCTAATTGTCACACCTTTTGCCCAGTGGGTGAAGTTGTAATCTGCTGATTGGTCAGTTTGAATGTCTCACATTTGGTTTTAGTCACATGGTCAAGGAAGGGATAAAAGAGGACTGTAACTGTTGCGCTGTCTCTTTTCTTTGCTGCCTCTTTTCTTTGTTGGAGCTCTTCTTGGGTCTCTGCCCTCTCTTCCTCTTTTTCTTTCTCTCGGGTAATATTTTACATGTTGGGTACAATTAACTATGCTTTACCATCCTTCGTCTATTTTGTAACCAATTCAAGTGTAACCGTAACAAAATATTGTTATTAAACCATTTCAATTATTAATTATGTGCTAACTAGTCTTGATTCAAGGTTAATATTAAAGTGCTACCTATTGCAATACAATAGTCACTCAATAGCAACGCTCTCCCACATATTTAGCTATTCTAACTGCGCTTATTTCCGTCGTTGGTATAAGTGGCAGTGGTTGGTAATAGCCTAGAAATGTACAGTTTTATACCATCGTGCTGATAACGTTTCTTTAGTCATTCGGCAATCCTACAGCCTGAACTACCGTAGGGAAACCATCCTTACATTATCAACCCAAAATTGAAAATTCTGTCATCATTTACTGACCCTTATGTTGTTCCAAACCTGTATTACTGTCTGTTTTCTATGGAAAAATAGATATTTTGAGTCCATACAATGAAAGTCATTGGGGTCGAAAACAGCCCGAATGGAGCCCATGGACTGTGATGATGCGTTTCTTTCCACAGTTATTAACATCACAAATCTAGTAAAGTTTTTACATTTACATTTTTTTTTATTGCAGTTAATGCTGCTGCTCTTCAGTCGTTCTCTTTTTTTTCCCCAGCATAATCAATCTTATGATTTTTTTTTTTTCTCTTTTTGAAAGTCATAAAAAGGCTATTGTGGATTTTTTGTTTTGCTATTGGAACAAATGAGAATGCAAAAATTATATTTGATGTAGTTTCTGTTCCGCACTATAGAAAATTACCCAACTATGACCATTTTCGCTTCTGAGAACCCCAGAAATGTGAAAAGGTCCATTGACTTTTCACAGAAGAAAGTAAGTCATACAAGTTTGGAACGACATGAGGGTGAGTAAATGATGACAGAATTTTCATTTTTGGGTGAACTATCCCTGTAATAATGGAATTTTAGTTAGAGTTTACCTGTTCACTGTGTCATTTTTATTGTTTTATCCTTCATATTAAAGACTGAACATGAATCTACGTTTAGAAGAGTGAGGGATTGAATCAAGATGAAACTTGGGACAGATGTTTCCCCACTGGAACTGTGCAACCCACTAGGCCACATCCCTCGCCATCTCAAGATGGTTTTTGTCAGTATCACCCTGCACACATTATGATGATGTTTTGTGCACATTTAGTCACCAGAGACACAAGCATTTCAGTCTGTTCTCTACTAATTCCTCTACATTTCATTGAAAAGCATCCATCAGCGTGTGTCTCCTCGTACCTACCGTAACAGATGAGCTCGATAAGGCCCATTTATCAAGCCGTTCTCTGTTTAAGGAAAGAGAGAGTGTCGATCAATACCAGGCTCCCACTGGTGTTCATTCTACACAGTGGGTTGTACTGTCAGCGAATCATTATGCAACAGTAATCTCCCCAACTTGTGAAAAGAGCTGTCCATGTCCTCCAGAGAGAAGCTCCTCAGCCAGACTGATGATGAGATTAATTTTTGATCAGTGCCAGGTTTCAATGTGGGGGCTGCCTTTTTTTCCAGGAGGAAAGCAGTGCTCTCCCAACTTAGGTTGGTCTGATGAGCTCTTCTTCCTGGCTATCGTATCAGACTTTTCCCCGGGAGGACTGCGGGAAAAGGCAGACAGGCGTTTCGCGATGGACAGCGACTTGAACAGCCGTTCTGGCTCAGAAGAGCTGGCTCTCGCCACTGTGATCCTCCTGACAGGAAAATGAAGCTGTCAATCAAGGTTCTGATGTGTCGAGCCAAGATCCCAGCATTTACGTGTGGTGGTAGGGCTTTCCTTCTCACATGAAAGAGTGGAAGAAAGACGTCACTCTTTTTTACATCACTTAGATAAAATGGGACGAGGCACGAGGGGACCTTAGAGGAGACAGGACTGATAAAGATGGAGGGACGTGTCCTTTGAAGTGACAGAGAGCTGCAAATTCGAAATGGATGGCGTAATGTGGGTCCCAGGCAAGAAGAACTAGATACGATGGAAATGAGATTTGTGTCTTGCCGATCGATTTTTCTGGGAGGGATTGAAATATTTGTGCCAGGATTCTGTTGTTTGGGGGGGGAGTGAAAAAAAAGAAAGAAAGAGAGAGAGGGAAAGTGCTGGAAATGTTGGCGCTGAAATATAATTTGAAGTTTCATTTATAAAATGGCTCTCAAGGCACATCTGGCTCATTGGGCCATACGCATGCAAATACAGTACGAATCTAGCAAACGAAACCAATTCTTTTAGTGTTTTCCCTAAACAGATGTTGTTGTTGGTGAGTTTCTTTTTCCTTGCTTTCTTTTGTTTCAAAAATCAAATTAACCTTCAACTTATTGTTACAGAGAAAGTGAAATGGGATATTCACGCTGGGGTTTGATCAAGATGAATATCAAACATAGACTGTACACCCATATAGGAGGTGCTGTATAGGGACTAGTTTTCACACTTTTTAATCCAATAAATATTTTCTCAGGGTTAGTTGGTTTTTGAAAGTCAATTTCAGCATAAACAGATAGCATAAAGTCTTGGCTACAAAAATAACTATTAAATATTTTCATTGTTGCTGCCCAGGAAAAGGGTGATGTTTGACAGGGTATGTTGACACACTATGTGGAGTAAATTTTCACAATTTAACCTGCAAAACAACTGTTTAAAAATTTGGGATCAGTAAGATTTTTTTTTAAATAAATAAAAGAATGCCTTTTTGAAGGAATGCTTATATATATACTGTATGTATATATGTATATATATATATATATATATATATATACATATATATATATAGTTTCAACAAAAATGTTAAGCTTCACAACTGCTTTCAACAATGGCAATAAGAAATTATTCTTGAGCTCCAAATCAGCATTTTCTCAGATCATGTGACACTTAAGACCGAAATAAATAACATTTTAAAATATATTACAATGGAAAAGTTTTATTTTAAATTGTAATAGTGTTTCACAATATTACTGCTTTCACTGTAAAAAAAAGTCTTACCGACCCAAATCGATTCATCATTTGCTCGAAAAATAAATATATTTATGTCATGATCAGTCTGAATTTTTTATTCTGATTGGCGTTTTTATATATATATAACATATTTATTTTGTGACATTAATGTAATTGGACGTTAACCTTGTAGCGTTTGGACCAATCAAATTTTTCTCACAAAGGGTCATAAAACCTCCCCCAGTATCTCAAAACTCCCACTTGGGACGTCAGCCTTTCTCATTGGACAAGCCCATTTTGAGAGGCGGGTATCTTCCGAGACATTAAAAGCCCCACACTAGGGACCCACCCCGAGTCGGTGGTCTGGTTCTGAGAAGATGAAAATGTGAGCAAATTATAACTAGTTATGATTAATTATTCATATTTCCCCATGAGCTGATTCACTACAACCTTTATAATTGGACTGAAATATTTATAGTTACTGAGCTTGTAGCCTTTCCTGAGAGTCTGGAGTTGCCAATCTTGTTTACACCTGTTTAACGATCATTGGGTTTGGATGATCAACTCAGTTTCAGAATCCAGCAGGAGCACAAAAAGAGCTCCATTTCCCTGTTAAATTAGCCTGGCCCGGCAGCTGTGTTTCCAGCCAAGAGTGAATGGAGTGATTGATCGAGCCTTGTGTGAGCTGAGGTGAGGGAAACAGGAATCAGTCCATGCAGATATCACTAGTGGAGCAAACTCTTTTGGCCCTAGAGTTTAATGAGGCGTAGACTTCATACTGAAAATCACCACAGACCCCCGGAAGGCCAGGTGAGGCATGCACACGTGTGTCTTTTGGCCATGTTTTTTATGCACCTGCATTCATCCCAGCGTTCCTGGTTCAACAGCATTTCACGAGTACCAGCTGTATGGTGTGTGTCAGAGACCACTCGCCATCTGTCATAATGTCTGTCCATCACCGCAATGATGTTTTTTTTTTCTTCTGTTGTTTGTTCATTTTCGTTGTCATTCATACTCGTTCTCTTTGTCTGGTTGCTGCTTGGCATCTCTTCAGTCACTCGGAAAGGTTGGCTTCCTGCCTGCAGTGGCCATGTGCGGGTCCCTCCTTTATCTGTCAGCCCTGTAGGCTGAGGCTGAAATGTGTGGGTCTTTATTCCCGGCTCCATAGTGGAATAGCAGGAGTCTTTGCTACTAATTAAGTGTGGTGGAGAAGAAAATCCTTGAGCTGATGGGACTGTCTGCTCAAACTGTGGATACATTTTATTGTTTGCTCTTTTTGGGATTGTTTCGTTGAAATCTGTGGGATGAGGGGTAAATCAGTAGCATAAATTTATCACACACTTAAGTATTTATTTATTTATTTTTAGTAATTTTTAGTTTTTGTTGTCCAAAAATGGCTGTTAAGTTTTTAAGTATTTCTTCATGCAATAGATATTAATTTAGAGTGAAATTACCATTTTTGTCAACAAAATTAAGTTTTTTTTTTATTTGAGCCTGTTTAATGCTTTTTTTTACTATTATTTTGCTATTTATTTGAACACATTCTGAATGAATTCTGTCAATTTATTTTTTATTAATATCTTGTACACTTTAATTGGAATTATTCAAATATCATCATGTGTCCTTTTTTGCTTTATAAAAACCAAAAACCCTTTGTCGTCAAATGTTGTTTTCAGTAATTTTCTGTAATTTATTTCTCAATTTTTTTTGTCTTACAATAAATGTCCTTTAAATTCAAATGTATACTTATATTTAATTACATTTTTTAAATATTTCTGTTTGTCATATATAATAATTTATAATGAAATGGCATATGATTCGTGCCAATAAAAAATTATCTCGGTCAATGAAAAGATGTCAAACTGTCAAAAAGACCAAACTTTGACCAGATTTTCATTTTTGAGGTGTTCCGGACATAGTATTAAAAATTTAACAGCAGAAACAAGATACAATATGAGTCTGAAGTAATAGCATATATTATTTAGTATATATTGAATAAATATGAGTAAACTTTTCAGAAGTTGCCGTTTTAGAGGATGTTATAAACTTTCTGTTTTAGAGCTTGTTTAATGCTCTTTATTTATATTTTTTATTTGTTATTATACAATATATTTCTGTATTGTATTGTACTTGTATTGTTTGTTAATATCCCTTTCTCTTCATATTTTTATCAACAGTGTGTTTTAGTTGGAATAAATTAAATTTTAAATATTATGATATCTCTTTCCGTTTTGTGAAATCCATAACCCTTTCTCAACAAAGATTTTCATCAATATTTCGTTGACGAGATTTACTCCGCCACAGCAAAGCACATTTTTTTGTAATTTTAATGTAAAGCTGGAGATGTAGTCACACATCAAACATTTGCACAGAGCTCTATCACACAGCACATTTTATACGTATTTCTCCTGGAGCTGCCTTGCGGAATCAAGCTTGTTTTAAGTAATTAGGCTCTTGCATATATGACTACAGCAGCCAACAGTGTGTCATCTGTTGAAATCTTTCAACTCAATAATTGTGACGTTCCAATGATTTTCAAACAGTTGCAGCATCCATCTGCAATTCATTTCTCTGCAGGTTAATGTAGTAAATTGTGGAAACTTGTTTTGCCATGAGAGACAGCATGTGCTTGTGTGGTTTGGTATCAGCCTACGTGAGTGTACGCATGCGTGTGTGTGTGTGTGTGTGTGTGTGTGTACAGTGTGTGCTGTAGTCACAAGCTTGTTTGTGTGTATGCCTCCAGTGCACTTGCCAGCTCTCTACACTATGCATGGATTGTCTTGCTTCCTTCTTTGCATGCAGATGTGGGCATTTGCACGCACATCAGCCGTTGAGAATGGCAGTCCAGCAGCCCCTAGAGCTCCATGCATGCTCCCAAAGAGCCAAGTGTTAATCCTTTTGAGCGTGTTGTGTCTTTACACACAGAGGGAATTAGTACTCATATCTGTGGGCTAGACCGTAAAGTACTCTTCAAATCTCAAGCACTGTAATTACTGTTGTCTGCATGTTATAAGCAGCTGTTCAGAGATTCAGTCCTGTGGTAGATTCTGTAGCTATGGTGGTGTTCAAATAGTAGAGCATGGCGCTAACGATGGCAAGGTCATGGGTTCGATTCCCATGGAATGCATGAAATGGTATGAAAAATAACTTTTCAGTTCTAAACTTTTTATCATTGGATAAAAGCATCTGCCAAATGCATGTGTGAATATGTAATGTAAATGTGGTAGATTTGGGAAAAGGATGGTTGTATTTTTGGTGTGTGCTATTTATGCATATAGCAGCCTTTTAAAACAAAATAGATCTATTTAAAGAAGAATGTCCTTGACTCAAAAAGCTTGCTTGACCGTGTTTACATCCTTTACTTGACTTTGAAACTGAAAATCTTTGCATATTTAAACTGATTTAATTCTGTGCTTGTTGTGCTGGTTCTAAAAGCGTTCATAGTATTATTTGTTTGTTTATTTATTTATTTATGTAAGTATTCGAATAATCTGCAGTCTTTCTTACATGCAGTTATAGTGGAATGTTAAGAGTCATCCATGGACAAAGATTTCTTGGAATTCATTTGGAATCGATGGATGGAATTCTCGTTAACATATTATGTTTCACATAATATTTAATAGTTATATGTATATGTATATGTTAAAATGAATACATAAGGACTATAAATGGTGTGTTTTTGCTCTCTTATGTGTCTGCAGATGGGACGCCTTACACGTGGTGGGTCGGCCGCGGTAACGAGAAGCACTTTTACTGGGGCGGCTCTGTGCCGGGCATTCAGAAATGTGCATGTGGTATTGAGCGCAACTGCACCGACTCCAAATACTACTGCAACTGTGACGCCGACCAGAAGCAGTGGTAAGCCACACATTATCTGAGTAGCAATATGCTGTTTCCATGGCAATCAACAAAGCCCGTAGCTAATTATGAGCTGTGGACTAAGTTGCTATTTGCTATTTTACTGACCTTCTCTGCCCACCTATCAAACTTAAGAGAGACAAGTATGTCATGTTCCCATCTTCTTTATTGTCTCTGTGTATTCATTAAATAACGTGTCTGCTTCGTGACGCAGTTGTCTCGACCTCAGCATTTGTGCAAATGACAAACAGATTGTGCTGATAAAGAAGTTTAAGTAGAGCCGAACCCTGATATTTCCATCAACAAAAGCTCTGTGTGTTTGGTGGCTTTATTACTAAAGAGAGCTGTGGGAGATATTGCAAAGGAGAGGAACAAGGTCATTCATCAGACACCCTGATAGAATTGTCTGTAATGCATATGCGTATGTATTGCTTTGAGACGCATTAATTTACATCCGTTCTAATGGGTCTTTATATGGTAGTTGTTAATGCCAGTCAGCTGTTAAAGAACAGAGAGATAAACAATCCACCTTAATACAACAAACTCAATCTTACATTTGCAAAGAGAAGAAGAGACAAAGTCTTAGTATTACCATTACCATAGTGCCTTAGATCTGAGCACAGTTGTATTTTGAGCCAATCACCTGAGCAGTACAATATATGTCAGATATAACTAAAGACTGTGCATCTGCAACATAATAACATCACGACAAAACTGATTGGCTGATGGCACCACAAGAATGCGCAAAGACCCCGCACTACAGTTGTAACCTTTGTGGTTAAAGCGGACATAACACACACAGTTTCTGCCAATCTCATGTTAATCTTGAGTACCTATAGAGTAATTATTGACGTCATACAGGGCCTTACTCAAAAAAAAAAAAATTCCGAAACTTATACGAACCCTTAAGGAGTGCCTTTGGCACAGGACTACTCTGTTATACGTCCAACTCGTTGTTGTTTTTTTACTTTGGTCATGTTTAGCATGAGAATCCAACTCTTTAGCAGTGTAAATAACTCAGAATGCATGAAATGGCATTAAACAGCCCCTTTAACTGAAACTTTTTCGGTAATTTATTAAATAAATATTAATTTTAAAACTAATCTCATGTTAATCTTGAGTACCTATAGAGTAATTATTGACGTCATACAGGGCCTTACTCAAAAAAAAAAAAATTCCGAAACTTATACGAACCCTTAAGGAGGGCCTTTGGCACAGGACTACTCTGTTATACGTCCAACTCGTTGTTGTTTTTTTACTTTGGTCATGTTTAGCATGAGAATCCAACTCTTTAGCAGTGTAAATAACTCAGAATGCATGAAATGGCATTAAACAGCCCCTTTAACTGAAACTTTTTCGGTAATTTATTAAATAAATATTCATTTTAAAACTTGGCAACTAACAGAAATAAGCTGACATTGAAGTACTAAAATTACTAAAACAAAAACTGAAATAAAAATGGATTAAAGCTATAGAAAATGACAAAACCACATACTAATTACTAAAAATGAAAACTTAATACAAAAAATCTTGCTCAAAATTTTAAAAAATACTATCATAGTAATCTATCTATCTGTATTATCTGTACATTAGGTTACACTTTATTTCGATAGTCCACTTTAGACATTCTACTGACTATAAGTAACTTTGTAACTACATGTCAACTATATGTCAACTAATTCTCATTCATTTGCAACTACATGTCTACTAACTCTCAGAGTAGACCGTTAGGGTAGGTTTAGGGTTAGTAGAATAAGTTGACAAAGAAAGTGTTAGAAGATATTAAGCAGACAGTCTACTAATACTCTACTAACTGCTAGTTGACATGTAGTTGCAAAGTTACTTGCTGTTAATAGAATGTCTAAAGTGGACTATCGAAATAAAGTGTTACCGTACATTAGTGCAGGAATTAACTAGACCATGCTAACCAGTTAATCCATTAGTGCTCACATGTAGTACTGAATCATTCATGCTGAAAAGTTTTGGAAAAAATAGTTCAGTGTAATTAAAAATTGTTCTGCCCAGTGTTTGCTTGTCCTGTACATTTTTATGCATATCAGAGTATTACACCATTAAATTAGCAACATGTTAATGTCAGTCTGTTGTTGTGTTGTGTTCTCTTGTGCCAAGCACTATTTCTGTGGCTTGTGGAGTTGCTACCTACAGTATGTAGAGCATTTAAAATCACTCACTTATAAGGATCCATGAGAGGTTGCCGTTTTAGGGGCCATTTACACTGAATGTGTTTTTGCATTCCACTACACTTCTTTTCTGTTGTTTTTGTATGTAAACATGCTCTAGACAAATGTGTTTCACCAATGCACTCCTGTTTGCAGCATCTCTCACATGACACTGCAATCTAAAACCATGGTTCGACACTCCTGCGTCTTGCATTTTTAAATGCAGAAACACATTCTGTGTGGTTTTGGAACAGCTATAGACTATCAGGCATTTGTAAGCATTGGCGCTCCACAGGAAGTGTATTGGATGGATTGGTAGAAAGTTATAACCAAACAGACTTTATGTGCCCCTGGGTAACTGTGTGTATGTGTTTGTATAATGTACATTGTGTTTGTTTGTGCAGATTTCATTATGCTAAGAGCTTGGAAATTATCTTTTAATACTATATTCTTAAGGTACACATAGCCTCAGTCAGTGAGCTGTATCTTATTTGTGTTTTCCTGATGGATTTCTTCATCATCATCATGTTTTTGATACATTTTGTGAATATTTATACAGCTAGACTGTTGGAAAGAGAGAATTTTGCTGCTTCTGTTGCTGGTTTAGCTGAACACACAGTAATATGTGTTAATGGCCCATGCACAGATGGACAGTGGGTTATTGCGATGCACTCGCCACTTGTCATAAACCCCAAGCAAACTGAACCACCATGCATAATGGATACAAATTAGGACATTGGATTTCAAAGCAGCATGTTTCATTCCCAACCACATTGTTGATGGTGTTTTTTTTTCCTCTACAGGTTTGCGATACATAATTGTTTTTTAAATGACTTTTGCGGTTGCATTGGCACCGTGATAGATGGTGGCATTAAAGTAATGCAGACATAGTGCTTGTACCTGTGAAGTTTATGTATGTGTGTGTTCACTAATGTTTACTAATTTTGCAAAATAGGTGCAGTGAGTGTTTCCACTGATTAAACAAATTGTATTACTGTAATTAAACAGCCAGTCATCAGTGTCAGAGGGCTGCTTTTGAGAGAAAACAAACATTTTGCATATTAAAGCTTTAATGAGTTTATTAGATCTTGTCAACAAGGAGAGTTAAGATTCAGTTAAGATTCAGATACGATGCAGAAAAAAATGAAAATAAGATGTTTCTTTTTTTCATCATAATTTATTATGAATTATACTTTTTGGTAGGAGGGACGATTCCGGGATTCTGGTATATAAAGACCACTTACCGGTCAGCCAAGTGGCTGTTGGGGACACAAATCGACCCGGCTCAGAGGCCAAGCTGACCGTGGGACCTCTCCGTTGCTATGGAGACCGTGAGTCTATTTCTTTCTCCTTAAATAATATCCAGCTTCGGCTCACAAGAATACAGCTTGTGGATTAATAAACAAATGACTGAACATAGACAACTAATTATGTGGTTTTAATGCTTTATTAAATTAAGTAAACAGTTCAGTGTTGTTTGCATATTATTCTGAGCAAGCACTGCTGTTTTTTTGTCCTTTGCGATTTATGAAAGCAGCTTTCTTCGTCTGGTAGTTACTGTGTACAAGGCTATGAATCTTTTATGTCTTCACATGGTGGCCTTGCAATTAAAAACCTTCCGCTCTTGAAATATGTTGTAATAATCTGTATTGCCAAAGGATTTGTTTTAATGGCATCTTCTTTAAATAGATGTTTAGCATTTTTCAAGGTCAGCCCATTGTCTGCAGCACTCTGAAAGAGGACGAGGAAAGGGGCACTGATGTCTCCAGCGTAACCGTCCCAAAGTTGCTTTGATGATGAGCTTTTCAATCATCATTCATCCCACAGAGGCCCCCTGCCACTCATTTTTATAAATTGGTGTCAACAGCCAGCTTGCCATATCTTCATAAAAATGATCAGTTTTTTCTCTCTGAGCAATTGTGAGGTAGGCGAATGAGACAGTGCATTAAAAAAATATATATATATTTTCGTTTTTTTTTTGTGAGCCAGATGCAATTATAAATGCCCAAGTTTCACCAGAGCGAAACTGAGAACCCAAGGGTAAAATACAGAGCCATCCCCCACCATCATCACCATGTGAAATGATGCATTTTTATGCCTCATTATTCCTGTTAATTGCATCTGGCTTATTACTTAGATCAGGTGCATTCGATTACACTCACCTGTAAGACAAGAACGTCAACTGCTGTTTTTTCTTCCTTTTTTCCTTTTGTTCCCACACACCTGTGACTGGAAGATATTTGTCCTATTATTCAGTTCTCTTGTAATTTAGGCCATGTAATACTATGTTTTCATCAGGTTCTTCCAACTACTGGACATATACTTTAGGAACATACAGTATGGACATTTATATGAATTATCCATAGAGGGAAATTGGCATTAAGAAAATTAAAAATATATATATATAGTTGGATATATAAGCCGTTACAGTACATGATCAGAGATTGTCAGTACATCTCAAATTTGTCTGCTTAGCCTTAGCAAACTGGAATTATTGAGATCCCTTTTGTGCCCTTGACCAAGGCATTTATGCCCAAATGACACCAGGAAAGCAGTGTCGGTAATAAGGGTACTGAAAATAATCAGATTAAATTCTCTGCTAAATAACCATTTTTCCCATGTCTTTTATTTCAGTTGCACAGTTATCTGTGCCAATCAGCAGCCGCAAACTGCATGGAGCCACTTAGAAAATACTGCACCTCCTGGTAGGGAAACATAATCATTGCTCATCAGGGGGTCCCACAAATCATGGCGAGTGCCCACCACACAGGGCTGAGTCTGAGTCTGAGGCTATTATTTATTCATTTCTTCAAATATTCAGGGCCTTGGTAGGAAGGGAGCAGAGTAGTAGTGCATTAATGCAGAAAGCCAGCCTCACTATGGTAATGCTGCATATAAATGTTGTTCTTAGCCACCTGCATGTGCACAAGAAGAAAGTTATAGGCCTCTGGACAGTCTGCACTTCACCCATGAGGCCCCTCTGGGCTTGCATTTATGCTGCACAGTGTAATGGTTGTCTCACCGCTGTTGGGTTTCTGCTCAAGACTGCAAATTGCATGGGTCCAGCAATCCCCTAAAGACTTGTTTATTTTTGTACTCATTATTTATTTACTGCGAAGTCTCAAAATTAGGTAATTGGATGCACAGGCTGAATGCCAATGTGGTTAGGAGCCTTAATGTGAAAATAATATGAGAAACCAGTGCTGCTTTATAACAGAGTCCAGTCCCATTTGGTTCAGAAATCAAACTTGAGATAATTTCAGATACTTTTTCACTGAAAATGTTTGCTTGTTTCAAAGGGACCTCTGTATATGTCTATATATTGTTGAATATTTGAAGAGCCCTATAAGAATACAAACCACATCCACTACAGAATTGTTATTTTAAGTGAGCACTCTTTAGTGAGCGTGGTTTGAAGTGTATTATTTGTAATGCTGCCAAAGTTAAAGTGTTTTAACTTAGTGTATCACAGTTTCTACAAAAATTTTCAATGTTGAAAGCAGTTGTGCTGATTCCAACATTGATAATTATAAGAAATGTTTCTTGAGCAGCAAATCAGCATATTAGTTTGATTTCCAAAGGATCACGTGACACTGAAGACTGGAGTAATGGCTGCTGATAATTCAGCTTTGCCATCACGGGAATAAATTACATTTTGAAAAATATTAAAAATAGAAAACCGTTATTTAAATTGTAATAATATTTCATAATATTACTGGTTTTATTGTATTTTTGACCAAATAAATGCAGCGATGATGAGCATAAGAGACTTAAAAAAGCATATATAAAAACATTCATATTAGTACCATAAGAGTACATATTACTACAAATGTGTCCCTTTGAGGGTATTGCTCCATTGACAAGCTGTTATACCCCTAAAGGTACAATTTTTGCACATTTATTCTGACAGTTAAGTTAATAATCAGAATGACTATTGTTAGTGGCTAGTTTTTTTGTTGTATTTGCGATATCTGGCAGGTTCTTTTAGGTGTGCATATATTATATTATGCTTTCTTTGCGAGGGTTGTTGGCATAGATGGTTAATTTGTAGTGGGAGTAATTTGTAGTCTCGCAGACAGATGCACTTCAGTCTAAGCAGCTGGCATATAAAGGCAAAGTGTTTAATTTCCGTACAACTATGACACCAAACAGAATTTGCCACAAACTGACGCCACTGAACTAATCTATAAGTTGGCATGTCGGACTGTTCAAACAAAAAATATAATTTTAGTCTGGAATATGTTATATTTTGAAGAAGAAATCATAATATCATCCATTTGTGTATAATCTAATCAAGATTAATTCAAAGATTCTGTGGTGATTAGAAGTGTGTCCAGTCATTTTTGTACTTGCGTTTGTAAACTCTTAGATTATGTTTTCTCTGGAGAAACATTGGATTCAGTGAGTAGTTTAGTTTGTGCCTAAGCTACAAAAAAAAGGAAGATGGGTTTCTCATTTACTCAAATTAATTAATCTCCGTTGCTGTGCCACGGCATATGACATACACCATCATCTTCAGGCAGGTTGCATAATTAATACTCATTAATAACCGAGAGAAGGAATAAAGATAACAAACAAAATGATGATTTAATGATGCATCTTGCCTGGCTATGATGTGCTGTGGCTTAAGACCACTGGCTGCTTTGCAAATTAATTGAGATAGATAACCTGTCAGTAATAAAGGAATATGATACCCCTGCCTAACGAAGCAGTTGCTAGAAATTATAAATTAGTGTGCCAGGCGCAATGTGATGGCAATTCCATGATATATGAAAAATATTGAATACGTCTCATTACGATGCATTAGACATTTTACATCTGAGTAGTTTTCCTGTTTGATTGATAAGACTTATGTTCACAATAGAATTATGCGACTCATGAATAACTACAGCTAAGTGAGCGACATCGCTGATAGGAAGGTCCAGCTGCAGTTAAAACCTAAATTTGGGGTCAGACTGAAGTCCTATACTTTGGCCACGCTCCAACTGTGGACAAATTGGATGATATTTGCATGGCCACAGTTTAAAGGGTTAGGATCCCTTTTTAGGACATTTTTAAAAATACCAAAAGAATAAGCTGAAGTCACAAACTCTCTCTTTGCTAGCTTAGTATTTAACCAGATGTGATGCAAACAGGAGAGCTGCAGGTAGGAGAAAAAATAAGATTCATCAAAAATAGCATTGATTCCTACTAGATCGACCAGTAAATTATTATTAGCAATGAGGATGTTCAGTGTTGCTTAGTTACTGAATCACTGGGCCGTGGTGTTGCTCTCTTTGCCGTTTCTCATGCATTTGTGACTGGTTTGCACCTGGAGACAAATGAGGGACTAATTCGGGATGTGATGTGTGTCGGGATGTGATATGCCCAAATTCCCAGAAAGTATCCTGACCTGATTGCATTAGATCAGTTGAAGTCGGGAAGTAGTGTTTCACTATGCGTTCAGTCTTTTCTGGGGTGATGTCACTTTTACAATGCTTGTGAAATCTATTAATATCACCATGAGCCTCAGGTCTATTGGACACTGAAAGTGAATTACATGTATAATAAAAAGGTTCTTTTGTCTCCAGCTGGAAGGAAATCTGCCGTTTATGTCATTATCGGGAAGTATACACAAATGAAATCTGCATGTAGCAGGTGAACATGTCCTTATTGTGCATCAGCCTGAATTACCTTTACTTAACATCACAAAACGAAGACTGTTGTTTGCAGGTTTTGTACAGGAGGTAAGGGAGACGGGTTAGTTGTCTGGATGAAAATTCTACTGAAAATGGCTGCTAAAAAATCAGATTTCCATCACAGGAATAACATTTTTAAATATATTAAAATAGAAAACAGTTATTATAAATTGTATTAACATTTCACAATTTATTATTTTTGACCAAATAAATGCAGCCTTGAGACTGACAGCATATAAGACTTTTCAAAAATAGTATAGGCAAAATTTAAAAATTACAACTATTATGAAACACAAAGTACTTTGTTACAAAGTTAACGTGTAAATAGTAACATGAAAAAATATCTAACCATTTTGCTGGACAGCAATAATTCCATTAATATTCTCCATTAAATGAGATATGAAAGACAAAAAATGGGACCCGGACCTTAAGAATAAGTCTCTCTCTCTTCACTACCTATTTGATATATATCTATAAAATATTGAAATACTGAGAGGTATTGCTTCTGACAACTGGTCCTGTCTCCTCTATTTATTTTTTTACCATTAGATTAATTATGACTCAGACTAGCAGTCAGCTGCTTTTTAAATTAATGTAATATTTACTTTCCTAAATCTTTTTTTTTCTATTCCTATTTATTTTGCATTTAGAAT